GATCATGTTGCTCCTCAAATCTAAGGACCTAAGTCGCGCAAGATCGCCCATGCGGGGTGGCAGATTCGTGATTTCGTTGCATCCCGCATCGAGCTCGGCCAACGCCGACATCCTGCCCAATTCGTCCGGCAGAGATGCCAATCTGTTGTGAGCGACCAATAACGTTTGCAGCGGTAGCCTGCATATCTCCCGAGGTAGAGAAGTCAATTGGTTGCGACTGCGAACAAAACCGTCTCCGTTCTAAGTTAATTCTAAGCCCGCATCACGCGGTGAACCAGGCCACTCGACTTCCTGTCTTTACCCACCTAAGATCGAGGTAGTTGAGGGACTGTAGCATCACCACAGTTTCCGGTATTATTCTTATGGCATTGTGGTAGAGATGGAGCTTTTCGAGGAACAGGAATTCCGTCACCTCTTCCGGCAATTCGGCGAAACGGTTCTTCGATAAATCTGCAACGAGAAGGAAACAAAAGGAGACGTTCATTGCATGTCGGTTTGATAAGAGCCACGCTACGGGAAAAACATAATACTTCTCGAGGAACCTCGATTAATCGGGAGACATCGTCAGGATTCTCGTAGCAACAGCTGTGCTCCGGTTAGGGTGGTGCTCGAGTTCGTTGGGGGTTCTTATGAATGGGGTGCGACGGTCACGTGCGTGTACGGTCTCGAAACGTAGGAAAAGGATAAGGGTGGCTCAGCTGCTACTGGCTTCGAGCCTCCTTTCTGATCAATAACTACCGCTTGTGTGCTTTCGTTTCCTCCTCCGGGAGTTGGTTAGCCAACAGTTCGTTTTCCTTCGCGCCATCAGCTTTTCAAACCCTCTGCGTCTATCGATCGCTCGCATCACCCCCTATGTGTGTGCCGATAATTTTTACATTTAAATAAATGCGCGAAAAATGCGTTTTTCTATTTTCTGCAAACGTATCGTCGTCGAGAAAGAAAATCTCACGCGGGATAAAACGATAATCACAAGGAAATTCTCTTCGATAACTCGGAAATTGGATTTCGATTATCCAGTTTACGCGATCGGAACGGAAATTGCCAATCGATCGTCAACAGGATACACGAATTTTCTCCGTACGCCCCGTTCGTTATCGTTCGATCTCGGTGATTTACGAGTCTTATTTGCACGTGGACTTATTACGTATCCCTTGTGCACGCCCACCAGCATAACGGGAACGAGTCCATGGGGTGGAAAGTAAAGCGTGGAGGAACCATTGGTACACGGTCGATCGCATAATCGTCGGGCAAGGGCGTCGGCCCGTTGGTGATGGTACGACGAAAATAGCAACCCCCTATTCCGTCTCTGTGTCATCCTCGTAACTCTCTCGTGCTAACGAAACTAAACAATTTTTACTGTCCTCCCGATACCGTATATAACTCCCTCGGGAAAGAAATCGCACCTGACGTCGACGAGGGATCGATCGGAAAACGATCTCCAAAAGCCGAGGAGGACCCCTGTGGAGCGAGAGACCCGCCATTGTAACTTAATTACAATAAAAGTATCGTAATCGAAAATTGACTGTGCCACGTATATAGGGTGTTTCACGAAGGGGTCGATGCACCAGGCGATTCCAAGGACCAAGGTCGAGGTCCAGTCGAGGGATCGATACCATACCATACGCGATAGATTTGCGTGACGCTGTGCAAACTTGCTATACTGTCATTCGCCAACGGATGGGCGTGGCCTCCAGTTTTTTTACGATAAAGACAATTAAATAAAACGACGTTTAACCAGGCTGCCGGACCGAACACCTCCGACCGCTAATAACATGACATAGATGGAATACTAAGTCTCGTCGATCGAAGTGTTTGCATTTTTATCGCACGGCCGCGCGCCCACTTGCTTATGCATACGCACAAGACAATAACGCCGGAAAGACGGTTCGCGCAATCATAAAGGGTTGGACGTATATGCCAGTGGAAAATGTCCGCCTAGTGATTTCCATGGTAATCGCAGAGAGGAGAGAGGACGACGACCTGGTGGAATAAATTTATAATACTCGAGGAAAAAATGGAGCAAGTTTTCTTTTTTATCCCGAGTTAATTAGTCGATCGATTGAGAACTTTGCGGCGAATCTATTCGTAAAAACTTAATGGAAATTGAAATTGGACTCGTCGTAAAATTATTACTTTGACTTGACATTAAAAAAAAGAAAGAAAGAAAGAAAGAAAGAAAAAACAGAATGAAACTGGATCTGCCCCTCCCTTTTACTGTAAACTTTTCAATTGCTGGGAAATTTTTTTAATTTTTCAAGAATTTCTCTTTCTCCGGGTATAAACTTTTGCATAAATTCACGGGAGCGGAGAAAGAGAGTAGCGGCGTTGTTTGGGCGTGCCGCGTCACGAAATCCTCGGCTAACTAATACGGATACAAAACGTAGGGTCAACGACCATGATGAAAAATTGTCTCGTGCGCCAATTCGAGGATAGAAACGGACAAGACAAGATAGATAGAGGCATATAAATCCATTTAGAACTTTGACGACCGATTCTCTCGGAAATCTTACACGATAATGCAAGATCGATAATAACACGCAGAGGCCAATATGGTCGGGATAGACGAGGAGGAAGCGTGTTCCCCGGCAAGGAACGAGGGATAAAACGCAAGAGAAAATACCATAACGATGTTAAGTTATCCTTCTCGGGATATATGGGGTTATAAGAGCTCGCATAAGGGCCGCCGTGAAACCGTGGAAACAGAGGGTTGGCCGATCGATAACGCCCCCATGGCAGATATCGTCCAGGGGGTTGGCTAGGAACAGCGCAAGGTGTCCCATGAGCCACCCTCTTCCCGAGCTTTTTCTGTTGGAAAATAAAATCATTCGGGACGTGGCAAATGCTTCGAGAACTAATGATCGGTAACGACGTTAAAAGTTCGTTAACGAGTCGCCGTGTTCCGCCCGTGTTCCGCACAAAATCGATTCAATTCCACTCTAGATACGTTGTCGACCGATAACGCGGTTAACGATCGATTCTAAATGTGCAATTAATACCGAAGGAGAATAGGAGCGTACGTGGCGGAGAAGAATATTTTCTCGCGACACGAATGGCGTTAGGCGAGCTCGGTCGGCCGGTCGATCGATCGGAGAGAAAGAAGAACTTTTTGGTCGCACCTTGCGCGCAGACTAATTGACTCTTACCGTGATTCCCGGCACGGAGATGCGTCGAGGACGCGTGGAAAGGAAGGAGGTGAAAAGGGGGAAGGACGAGGCGGAGGACAAAGAAAGCAAAAACGGGGTAAGGGGTAAAGGGACAGGGAGGAAATTATGGTCTCGGAGTCGCGTCAAGACGACTGGGGAGACGGTGGTCGGTCGCTTCGCCCTTGAACCATCGCCATTGCCGTGTCATTGGTGAGGAGATCGCGTCAAAAGCGAGGAGAGAAAAGTCTGTAGGAAGGAATAAGCGAGGCGAGGGGGTGAGAAAGAACGTACGCCTCGGTCGCTTTTGTAAGAGGCCGGCACCACTTCCGGCGACGCGAGGACGCGAGTGCCAACACGACTCGCATACTCGATCGAACTCGAGGCGGATGGAATCGAACAAGCTCGAACGGAGTTTACGATTGACAACGCGGCAACGCGCAGTTGCAAAACGAATCGATCGTTCCGAGAGATTTATCGTCGAAACCGTGTTGGTTCATGCTAGGCGAGGCGTATTATTATCGTCAGAAGTCTCGTAGAATTTTGATGGACCGTGGAGAGGCGATGTCGTCGGTCGGGGACCGGTCGAAACTAGCAGGACGAGTCCGTCGAGCATCTGGTAGTTGGTGATTCAACGTTGCATGAATTAAACTCCGACGTGGGGAAATATCCAAGAGAGAGAGAAGGTAAAATAAAGAAGGTAGTATCGGGCGCAGCCGGTTTCCATACTCCTGCTGTCTGACCGTGGCAGCCAATACGTGCCGAACAGTGCGTCGCATTGTGCATGCTGCGTGTTCGAGCGTGCTGGTACGCATGCACGCCTTCGTGTATTTACACGCGTGTGTATACGCCGAGCCGTATACGAACGTATCACAGTTAGTCGAACAAAGCACGCGTCCTCTTCCTTCTCTCTCTCGATTTCGTTTCGAGCCGGATATTATCGAGATTTGTTAAGTTTAAATGGTAAATAGAAGAGGGAGGGGGGGAAAAATGGATCGTCTATTACGCGCGTTAAACGTCTCGCGATGCGTGAAATCCAAGGCGGAAGCGTGAACAATCGATTCATTCGTTGCGCGCTTTCACGAAGGCGTAAAAACTTCTTTCGTCCGTTGAAACGAGAGTTTGCCTCCCTTTTCCTTCTTTCTCGCAACGACGGCGCTTCAATTATTGCAGCGCATCGTGGAAGAGCAGCGTTTGCTTTCTTTCATGCTGGCTACGAAAAGCCCGTTTCCACTCAAGTGTTTCTCCTCGCTCCTCTTCTCCCGTTTACCCAGCCTCCTCCTCTCCCGTTTTCAGCGCGCGAACCGAGTTTCCAGCCTGCACGACTCCACCATCCTTGACCTAAAAACTAATACCCGAGGTAGAAAAAACCGAGCGACCTGGAGGAAAGGTGCACAGGGTGTAACGAGACCACGCTCGATAACGAGTCGAAATATCGCGTTACACCCGCGCAACCAACGCGTTTCGCTCGAATGGAGCATTTTTTTCAACGAGTTTGCACCTATCGGGTGACAGTTTCCCGTCTCTCCGTTAGAAAACACGATATCTCTATCAACGATTCGAGGTTGTTTCGCATTTACAATTTCGAGCCAAGGAAGAGATTGCCCTCCCCCCGATTATCAATGTCTCATTTTTAAAGATTTGTGTCTTTAAAGATAGCGGACAATGATCGAACAATTGATAATGATCGAGTGGACAAGTGTCTATAACAATGATATCGTCTGAACGTTGTTGGACGATGTACGCGGATTATCAATATAAATCGTTATATACGATTATTTGTCCATAGAAAGTACATTAGCAACGAAATATAGGGAACGAAAATGATCGAAAGATCTATGGTAATGGCTGGAAAGGGCCTGGTTCGATCGTACCGTAGAGTCCTTTTGTTCGCGACCATGCTGCGTAACCGCGAAACAAAGACCGTGTATACAGGTTCGTCATCATTCCCCTAGAGACTAGAGCGAAGAACGCACTCTCTCGTCGACATATCTTTTGTTCGATGTCATTGACGATGAATCGATGACACTTTCTTCGCCGACCGTATCGCGCTACGCCAAATATCATCGCGATGAGGATTTCTCAAGTGTGTAAGAGCAAGAAAAAAATACGAGGGGACCTAAATATTTGTGATTCAAATTCGGAATCCTCTTAACCAGCAATCCGGAACTATATATTCAAGCCGCTCTCTTGTTTATTCCTTATCTCTCTATCGTTTACAGTTCGGCTATCCTAATCCAATATTCGCTCGAAAATGTTTACAAATCATACTTCAAAAGATCGAAATCATTTTGCATCGTCTTCTTCTGT